AATACCTTTCATTACTGCGGACTGTGTTCAAATTCTAAAGAATAATTACACGCTGACGAGGCTGAGGTTGAGTAACGGGATCCGTGAAGTTTCCCATTTCAGACCACTTGTCATTCCCTAGAGTATATCATTTCTTTGTTTAACGGTTATGCATCAGAAGACACATGAAAATGGATTCGACTCAAAGAAAGAATCTTTTTTTTTTGGAAATGACACGTGGTCTGAAATGGGAAAACATTACGCCCGATCCGAGGGGGTCTATGGCTATTTAGTTGACTCCAAAAATGATGCTAGCGAATGGATCGTTTGGCATTGTTTCATTTTTTTATCAAAAACTAACGTAAAGGTCTCTGCAGAGTCTTAGCTTTTCTATTCAATAATGTTAGAGTGTTGGTCCGCACAGTGAATAAGCGATCTAAGCCTTGTTTAAGAGCAAATGTATCATTTCCTAAAGTGCACCTGTAATGTAAATAATGTGCAAATTAAAAATTGATACCAATGTTTTTTAAAAAATCATATGGACTTTTACTAATAACAATTTAATATTTTAAAAACAGAACTACACTTTTGAGTTAATATACATGTTTCGGCAGTGACCTCTGCCATCATCAGTGGATGTAAGACTAATTAGCGGTGTGCATAAACATGAGATGATGGCAGAGGTCACTGCCGAAACATGTATGTTAAACTCAAAAGTGTAGTTCTGTTTTTAAAATGCTTAACTTTACTGATCACCTTCAGAACAATTTAATAGTATGTGTAAATAGCTGACTTATAAACAAGGCTAAACTTGTAGAAATGAGTCTGGTCTTTTTTTCCCTAAAAGGTGGATTTTACCAAGACGAGGTAGCTCACATAGGAGCAGCGCCACAATACTACTACAAAACTTGTCCTAAAGGAATGTATGTTAGTTTAGATAAAGCACCAGGAAAGTCAGAAACTGACTGCGGTGCCTGTCCTAAGGGTAAGAATACTTACTGATACTTATACATATTCTTACAGTTGAAATAACATAAGAAAAATTACCCTTAGGGACGGACCATTAGATTT